ACTAATTGAAAAGTGCCTCAATAATGTGAACAGCGAAAAGGGTCTTACTCTTACCCAGAACAATGGAGCTGCATCAACAGCTGGGATAGTCGGTAAAAGAAAAAAAATGGGCGGAAATTCTATCTCTTGATCTTTTCTTGCGAAGGCAGGTCCAAGGAAGGAGCACAACAAGATCAAAGGCTCACCAGCCCATTTTTCTTTCTTGCTGGATCTGCCTCAGCAAGCTGAGGTCAAGGGACAAGATTCCCGCCCACTCTGTCTTCCAAAGGCAAAAGACCCGATAACTTGTACGATAAATACGCTTAGTACGACAGAATTCGACGCCACTGAGCAGAAGCGGCTTTTCCAAAGAGCGAACGCTTATGGCGCCCTATCAAGCTGCAACATGCCGACAAAGACGCCCACCGCACCCGCCCGACCACTATTACCCGCATAGTCTCATCTACATTAACATCTTATCAACTCATTTATGAAGTACAATTGTTATGAAGCGTTGTTACACGAACAAACGAATACATCTACTCTAGTTCGCTGCGGATGAAGGGGCGTGTCAGACAGTAGGGGTGTGCCACTGAGCCAAACCCGTTCTCTGCCATTTGGAGCGGTAATGTGACAGCAATTGGTAGAAAACGAATGATACGAACGATGTGATACAGTCTTATCTTTGCTCGCTTCAACAACTGATGGAGGACGGTTTGGCACCGCGCCAAGCTCATTCCGCCTGACACGCCCCTTCGTCCGCAGCGAACTGGACTATAGTACGTGCAGCCGTATTTGTCGAAGCGGTTGTTGGCACGATGTCAACGGGAAAACCGTCCAGAAATGGTCGTCCAATGCCGTGCAGCCGTTTTACTTAGCTTTTCGTCATTTCCCGTCCCTTTTCCATTCCATAGGGTCCGATTAAGGCTGCTTATGCTTCAAATCAAGTATCCCGTCCGCTGATGCAGCTCCACTTTTCTGAGTGAGGCATAGTGAAAGGCCCGTCTGCTGAAAAACATACCTACGATATTGAAGAATACCGGCCAGATCAGCGGATCGAAATGGGCAGAGCCAGCAACTTGAACAAAGAGACCACCAACACACGACACCAATAACGTGAAGGCGATTTGCACACCAACAAGCGGTTTTGACTGAAAAATGAATCGATAGGCATCAATACCATTAGTTTTCACAGAAAGATTCAGTATTACTGCTAAAGCTTTGATTATCAGAAATCCGACATGTGTCGCAAAGTTCTTCATAGACAGTTGACTCAAAGCCACCTTCTCGCCAAGCTCGACTCTAGTCACGACAGCATTACGTTTCAATTGCCAGTTCATTATGGGTAGGGGATCTTATTTTGAAAAGCTCGATATCCGATAATCACATTTGCTCAGCTTCGATTCTTGGGGACCGCTGATAGACCATTTCCGTTATTTTGGAGGTTGACCCCAAAAACGTGAGATGAAAGAAAATAAATTATGGTTGAATGGTTTGGATAGAGGCCGCTAGAATTTAACTTTTCAACTTTGACGCCTAAGAGCTGTATAGCTTACAATGTCGCATAGTCGGGGCGGTGCCAGAAGGCGTGTAATGAGCCCGTCTCAGCCTGCCTCGCTCTACCAATGGAGCAAAAGACCAGTGGGGGAAACGCTTCATGTGGGGCTCTTCTATCTTTCTTTTAGAATTGCCACGGACTGATTGCGAGTTATCAGCTGTATTCAAGTGCACTGACAAGGAGTCACCAGGCAAGAGAGTAGGATCTCCTGAACAACGCTCAGAAAATAATTTCTTCAAAATTACCATTTGGCTATGGCTTTTTAATCTCGACAGACACATTACTTCGGATCTTGACACATTAACCTAAGGCCGACCTCATTTAGCTGAACAAATTCCATTCACACAAATCTGTAAGTAGGTGCAGAGAGGATAGAGATAGAATTGACTCAGTAAGGGCATACAAAAGAGTTTGAGACTGATCTTGGAACTCTGTGGCTTATATACGTCGGAAAGGACAAAAGGTCGATCGCGTTCCGATTTCGCATTGTCCCGAATTCGGCGCTTATTGAAACCTTTTGACACATGGTTCTGCCTCAATTTCATGCGGACGACTGCCACAGCGAAATAGCATCGTCTGTACCTCAGCCCACGCCCAGGTACAAATAGTGATAGTTCAAATTCAGCATTTTTTTTGCCAACTGACCTTCAACAGCAATAAGGAAGAGCGCTATAAAGGGTTGCTGTATCACCACATCACCACTATCAGTCCATTTCCTATCGCTGTAGAGAATTTTTGCAATACACGCCCTAACGCAAATTTCATCCTCTGCTACAACCCCTCTCCTCTATTCTCCCCTTGTCTTCAGACATTTCCCACCTTTTTCTCCCAATATTTCCCCACTTTTCCAGGAACTTCTTCGGTTTTTCTTCACGAATCCTCCTAAAAAGATACCGCCGAACAGTGGTCGGGGGAGGGAGTGGGGGGAAAGGGGATCGCCACTAAAAAACTTCTCAGTTCAATAGTATTGAATAGGACTTCGACCGCGCTACCAACGAGGGGAACGGGAGGGGGGGGGAGCGTCGAGGTAATACACCCTCCCCCCCACTCCCTTTCCCCTCACCTCCACTGTTTCCCAGCTATGTGGACAGCAACTAAATAGAAAAAAACCAACTAGGTGTTGGTTGGTTGAACTATTAGAAGTGAAAGCGCTACTCCGTGGGGCTCTAGCGTGCAGGGGCGGCTTTCAGAGATTTTGAAGTGTTTGTTGCAATATTTGCAGAAGGAAGGGTCTCCATACACGCGAAAGTAATAATTACCTATCTGGACGAATGCAGCTGAATAAACTAATCTCGGGAGCAAACGAAAAACAATTCTTCCGGTTAGCACGCCCCGAAACGCGCTAAACCAAAATGGTGCTGATAGAACGACAATATGTAGAAAATTCAGACTCTTGAGTCTTAGAGCAAGCGCAGTATTTTTTGACCTGCGCTGAAAGGAGGAGATTGGACGGCGTTGATTCTTAGAAGCGTTGATACTTATTGTTAGCAAGATGCCAACCTCTAGGCCAAGGGGAGAGGAACTCCAGAGTGATGGAAAGATTCTCGAGCAGGACACTTCATTGGCCGGGAATTTTCAGTCCGTGTGACCCCATGTCAGATGGTCAGAAAGGGAATACCACCCCCCTCCCTCGTATAAACGAGCAACTACCTCCCCCACCTTCACAACGTTTCAAACAAGGGACTCACCGATCGGAATTTTCACCAATACGGCCCCTGTCTCTCCCAACGCGACCAAATAAACTCCCACTTCCTGTTGGGGATCCATAACAATGATGTGCCCTGTTTTCGAGTACGGCAACTACGGATTAAGGTATTGTATTCCTAGTACCGCATAACGGGTCCTTCGCGGACACCTTCCTAGGATAAGTGCCCTTAACTCTATACCCCCTCTTAATACTATAGTGTTAAATAGTCTAAAATTAACCACCGCAGAACAAACCCACCTCTGGCCTCCAAAAACCTTACCTTCCTTACAAAGAAACAATCATCTGATTAATCATTAAATAGTTTTCAAGAGTTTCGGTTTTTCTTCTTACACTGATAAAAAATTTTTAATCACTCAAGGATACCGATAGGCATTGGCCGCCGAAATGAGCGCCAGAGCAGAACAACGATGTATTCACAGAACGAATAACCATCTGTAGCCCTTTGGATAACGAACGAATCACCCACGATGAGAACGATGACGGGGACCAGTATGACAGAGAAACGTTTGGTGCTGATGTAGTGTGAACCTGAAAAGTTGCGCTGAAACCTTGACAAAGAATAAGACCCAATAGATTTGAAAAGTGACCTGCTCCGCAAAATTTTCTGCCCATGCGGCATTTTGTTCAGCCGTCACACTTTCCTTCAACTTGAATGTCAACATCAGAGACTGGGCCCGAGAGATGGCACCATCCGAATCGGTTTCCACACCTGAAATGGTTGTCTTCAATTATCCAGTAAGCTTGCTGGACTGCCCTATTCAAGTAAAGCTAATGTCAATACAGCATTGATTAGTACTTGATAGCTAATCACACCGAAGGTTCTACAACTGCATTTGATCACTTTGAGTTGTTTATTTTCAAACTTTAAAATGTTTACTTTTCGTCGCCACGAGACTTCAATCTCCAAAAATTGGCGTATTTGTAGAGCCATGGAACAGTTCGGCCGACGGGGGGGGGAGGGGGAGCGGGGGAATTTTGCCACTCTTGCTTCTTCCCATCGACGATGTCGCAGCCATCCAGAGAGCCATTTATGAGCTTACGATAGTTGACAGGTTTTACCGTGGGGACATCAAGAACTTGCTCCAAGCTTCACAAAAGTTCACAAGTTTCACCAGAGTGAGACTTGTAAACCGGAACTAGTGAAGCAGCTCAAGTCTAGTATGCCCTCCTCCGCGCCAGCTCAAGTCTAGAATGCCTCCTCCGCGCTTCTTCGCCAAACTGTGCCCACAATCTCTGAATCTTATGTGTCAGCAACATCGTCTGACTGGAACATGGCCGGCAAACAAAGAGCGCACCCAGTCTGAAGCACAGTTCTCGGACGGCAATAACTGTAGCCATGCCTGTGACTATTTCTCGAATTCTCAGAAGATCTCAGACCCTTACGAGCTTCTAGCACAAGTACAAAAGACTAGTGACAATCTTGCAACCCAATGGGGCAAGTTGAACGGCAACTCCAAGCCTCAAGGGGAAGAAACTTCAGGATGGGTATTCTCAAGTACGACACTTCTATTCGGATAAAGTTTGTCCCAGTTTCACACGAGGGATGCTTTAGATGCCCCCTCCCAAGATTTAAGAGCGTTTTACTCCAATCATAGAACTGAATACTCTGAAATTAACATACCATGCAAGCAAAGCCGGTAAGTAATAGTAATTAATAAGTAAAGGTAAGGTTAGTAGTAAGTGGAATGATCCTTCAAAATCCACTAATGTTCAAGCTAAACTAACCTCACCTACCCCACAACTACATCATTATTCTTTCCCGTATTCTGATTTTCTCCGAATCCGCGCCTGACTTCAAAAACTGTGAAAAAAAATTGAACTGACCTCCGATAGCTCCTCCAAGGTATACTCGGCTAAGATTTGTCGAGTCCTTACCCATGCTGACAAACGTTTCCGGGAATGTGAGCGCGACCTGAACATCCACAATCAAACAATCAACACAAACATTTTTGTGGAGAAATGTAGAAAAGAAGAAATTCAAGGGGCTGATCACCAATCGTTAGCCGATATTCTTGCCGTTCCACAGAACACTAGAGATAAGAGGGTTAAGTGGAAAGTAGAGGTACTTATCGCGCACACTATCCCTGGGTCTAATCCTGAATCGAATCCCGCCCAGTGCGCTGTTCGGCTTGGGAGGGCATGTTGGACCTTTGCTTAATTTCTTCCTAGATCATGATAACTAACAGGTCTCTTTTTGATAAGACCTGTGAACTCTTGTGGAGCTGTGCCCACCTTGGGACAATAAACCTCTGCGTTGACTGGGGTGATTGGTAAGACTCGTCTGCATGGACAATACAAATATGTATGTTCACAAGATGCCCCCCCCACCACCTCCCAAGTCATTGTCAGGGCAAAAACGCATGCAAATAAGAAAACTTCCTGTTGAAGTGAATGTGTGGCGTGGGCCAGGAGATAACGATCAATCCTAGAGCTCTACCAGCACGCATTAAATTCACCCTCCTTCGAAAATAGTCGAAAAGTGGGACATGGTTCGCATAATGAAATATCCAGTGAGTAGAACCAACTCACCTGAGGACTTTTCTTAACAATCTTGTCAACCATCTCCCTTTCCGCTTCACATTCCGCTGGACACGCTTCCAAGAACTAAATGAATAGATTTTTCAGAGAGCAGTCAGCCAAGTAAGTGCAAATAGCAATAAAATCACCTCACGATTCCCGATTGGAAAATTATCGAGCCGCTTTTTCAAGGCTGAATATGCTAGCACGGCATCTTTACGTAGGATCGTATCTCGTGCTACCCTGGAAAAGAGCCAAGAGCACTGTATTCCCAGACATGTTCTAAGACAGATGACTTACGTTGTTCTCAACAGCACTGCATAGGTGGATGTGTCAAGAAAATTCAATGCAGTGAATGCTGGATTACTGTAGTTGAAGTCTCGTTGTGTTCGTTGTATACTGTACCCATTCGAGATGACGTCATTACCATGACCGCCCAGCACAGAAAACGGCATCGTGGCGGTCATTTTATTACGGTGTAGCACCGGACCGATTAAAGACGCCGACACGAAAATGATCGGCAACAACTGGAAAAGAGGCAAGTTTGCGGTAATCTTTAGGAATTATGGAAAATCAGCTCTGGACTTTTATGCAGGAAAACAAAGAAAAATCAAGCTTGGGGTAATATGTATCGTGAGCCTGGGAGAACCACAGGAAAAAACTCTTCCCAAAAAAATCGATATCCTTAAGGTATCGAATTTTCCTTAAAGGATATTAAGGTATCTATTTGGATGGGCGCAAACCCACAACCGCTGTGCCTTTCTCGTTAGTGCGCTTTTTCCTCCAACACAATAGACAGGAGGGCGCACCAATGAAGAAAACACATGGGCTATGAGTCTCCGCCCTTTCGATTATCGTGGAGTGCGTCCCTGATAGCCACGATCATACACCGCCCTCGAATCCCTGTAGAACCAATTAGTCTGGCGATTACTGCTCCCGATTAATACACATTACTTTGCAATCTTTCAGCCAGTACAAGGAAACAATATGAAGGTCCTACCACGAATAGAAGTTTATGGTTTGCAACTGCTTTGCCGAGATACCACAGAGCACGGCGTAGTCCGGCTTCGACGAAACGTAACGAGCGAATTCGGTAGACACCAGTCGAAAATGCTGGAAAACTCTATCGGATCCTATATCTATTGAAAAAGGGATTTCAAGAAATTTAGGAGCTGTTCGGCTTGGAGGGACACTGCACTTTCGATAGTTCCTTTAACAGGAGTTTAGGGATATCACACTGTTGAGACCTGTAAACCCCTGTGTAGCAGCAAAATGGCGCGAATGAGCCGCTTTGGTCACAGGAATTCAGAGGTCTCCACAAGAAGGTCAGTACAAGATAGCATAGAGCTATTCGGTGCCCCGCCAAACCCGACTGCGGCTTTGAGCAGCTTACCAGTCGCTGCTCGACACAAGCTCAATGGAATGGATTGATTGGGTGCATTGCGTCAAAGGGATTTAAAACTACAGCACATATTTTCCTTCACATTAGGGAAAGGTAGGGAACGGTGCGAACAAAAGATAAGCAAAATGAGCGATGGTGCTGAGAAGCAACATAGAACCAAACGGGTTGAAGACTTCACCTAATCCTCCCAGAAAAAGGGTGGGGCGGGAAAGATGGAGAACAGCGTGCATTACCGTCATATACTTCCCGTAAGGGACCGTATTTGGCCCGTGGTCGCGTCGAGAGTATTTCCATCGCTAATTTCTTCTTTTTTTTTTCGTTGATTTTCAATATATGACCCCTTCGGACTCTCCTTTCCGGGGTGACGGGACGGGGTCGTTCGGCACCGGCTTCACGCATGTGCCGTGATGCTCCCCGGAGGGAACTATGCAGATAGTGCACTACTTGTACCTCCCTTTCACCGGAATTGCCTTTTTGCCCTTTTCTGCTACGTTGGATGCTGCTACACGCTTTCTGCTTCTTGAGCTTTTAGGAAAAAGGAGTAGTTACTCACCACCGCGATGTCGTTTTCCATGTGATCGTGCCATTTCCATCTGACGAACATAGTGCGCGATTTGCATGTCGTTGGTAATCCGTCGCACCAACGCCTGCTCTTTCTCCATTTTGCGTTCCTTCCGCTCCAGCGTTGTGGCGTTCGAATGCGGTTCCTAAACACCATCGTTTTGGTTCTCGCAAAATGTCAATAAGTCCGGCCGTTCTCCAGTAGTGAACTGCAACCAGTAGTCATTTTTATTGCAGCGAGGGATGGGGGACGAAAGCCTAGGAAGTGGACAGAAAAACAAAAACCATCAAAAGGATAAAAGACTTTAGAGGGGGGGGGGTAAGAGATAAAGAAGGAGACTAACCAAAGAAGGGAAGATTTTTAGAGATCGGAGGGAGATGAAAGCCTAATCCCAGTTATAACCGATCTGGGTCTAACAAACAATGATCCTAGAAACAACGGCTTACTCACCTCCACGTAACTGGTCCTCTCCTTCAAAGGTTGATGAGTGGGCGATTTCCGTTTGCCAGCGTCGCCGGAGTCGGCCGTCTCCGTCTTCTTGCTCTGCTCTTCCCTCTTTTCTAACTCGGCAAGAATGTTCAGTTCACGTTGCTGCCGCTCACGTTCTCTTGCTCGTTCTCGCTTCAAAGTGCTCAATGTGCCCGCCGTGCGGGTCAGAGTGTTCGATTGCGATCCGGACTGATCCTCAGGAACAGATGGCGGTGGTCCAAGCTGGAAAATTATTCGTATTGCTTACAAAATATGTGGAAGCACAACGAAACTCACTAACACGACTTCAGCTGGAAATAAACGAAGTAAACGCCGAGGGCTTGTAAACAATTCGACATG